AAAAAAAAAAATTAACTGCGTGTTGGTGTATTTTCCACAATCATTGATTCACCTTTCTTATAATTCATGGATGATATTTTGTTTATTAACCTCATTTTCTTTAAAGGGAGTTTGGATAGCCTCCATCATTCACCACTTGCAACGAAATGTGGGTAAGTTGACTACTGTAAATCATGTCAGCAACATAAGTGCCAAGCAGTAGAATAATCGTGATCCAAACCGGAAGTAAACACATTGTAAGGCAAAGAAAATACATGCACTTTATATAATAAGCTGAATAACACGTGCAGTCTGATTGGTTCTTACTTATGATCTATTAGAGGAGAGACGCATAGATGACGTCACCATTTACATTATTTGCTTTATAATAATATAAATTAAATAGATTTCAAGTTGCAGTTATAGATCACAGAAGACATTCAAATGTGGAAAGACTTTATTCTTATCATATTTTGACGTTACCTGTGACCTACTACAGAACAGATGCACGGAAACATGGAATCTACTTGTTCATCATTGCTAAAAGAGTGGCTTTTTGGCTTACACCACGTTGTTACTCTTGTAAAAAATTTCCTGTTACAATCAACATCATAAATATTTTCCAGGTGGTGACAAACATACTGAAAAAGAAAAAAATATTCATATTTATTCCATGATATGTGGTCACGTCGACATTCCAGAATTGTCATAGGAAGAAAAACTAGGTTGTAAAGGACAAATAACTATAATTGAAGAACGTGCCAAAACACTGGATACTTTTGGAAATGGAAAGACTCCTGCTAATGACGGCAACCTGCCAAATTTTACAAAACCTTTTTGGAGCTCTGTAGGTGAGCTCATGACAGATATGCTTTTACCGTATTTACCCCTGTATAATGCGCGCCTATGTATAATGCGCACCCTTGTTTTTAACCTAATTTATCAGAAAAAAGGTTTTTCACGACAAAAAAGACAAGATAAATACTCGTACAAGTATTTATTAAGACAACAAGAATGAGAAATTTACTATATCGTGAACATCAATATCTTTAATTTGCTACTTAGTTATTTATGACATTATTGAAATCAAACTTAAGAACTTCAAGCGAGGCCTAGCTAATTTGACGATTCCATGGCCCGGTAAATATTATGAGTGTGCAACAATATGATTTTGTGTCATACCATCGTATCTTTAGAATTTTCAAATTTTCTGGCCGTAAAATCAAGTAAACAACAATATAACCACGATGAATTCCACTGCGTGCCCTTAGTACATATAAGAAATTTGCGTGTTTTCGCCTATAACAGCAAATCAAGAACTGCTTTAAATAAAGCTTTTGTCCTGAAATATTTCTCGCTCGCTTTCTTCTTGCTTCTCATCGAAAAATTCCATGTAACATGAGATCTCTTCAGAAGCGGCCAAATTTGCATATTCACTCTGAAATCTGATACATCCATACATACATTGTATCTATGTAAACGAA